ATTTGCAAGTTATTATTGAAATAGTTATAACTTTCTTTCTAAGTCATCAATATCAGAACTATTTCTAATGTGTTGCGTAATTGTGAGTTTGTGCAGAAAACTATAAGATGAAACAAGAGAATCTTGGCGTCATTTATTTATTAACACAAGTGGGGAAACTGCCTAGAGCTCTGTAAGAAATAAGAATAATATGAGGATTAATTATTTGGCTATATGTACTTTTAATAAATACAATTAGATTTGAAAAATATGCAATAGCTAAGAATTTAATTCGTAGGGTATATTTTTCAAGATTATTTATTTAAAGACCGTTGTGGAATTATAGAGTACGATTTATTCAGCGCAGCGCTTTGTATCCCAGCAAGCCAGCAGGCCATGGCTCCGGCGCACATCTAACAACTGACTGCATAGCATAGCACACCCGTTATCATCTCGATACACACAAATTCCCCATAAGCTGACTCGCTCTCCGCTGATTAATATTAAACAACCTGTGGAAAAGTAGATAGGGCGAACGTCACGTGACGAGCTGGTTTACTACGCGACCACGTGGTTGCGTTCGGGTCCTGCAGGGCAAAGGACGAAATACGGGCAGGCGGGCCCACCGTGTGGCATCTAATGCAAAGATGTGACCGCATTCGACGTGGCTGTGCAGCGGAGTTCTAAGGTCATATTTATCGGGAATACCGACTGAGAGCGCGTTCCGTGTTCTATTTTAGGTTATGATCCAAGCTGTTTGCAGCTCGTTTTTGTTTTCGCCGGAGCACTCTTAATTGATAACGGCGACGGTCGCTTATGTATCCTTACGATAACCGCGATGAGGCGTTTTTTATGTACCTATTATTTGCATCCTTGTACCCACAGGTGCATATTGGAAAAAAATACATAGGTAGTTTGTGTTTCGCCAATTTGTTTTACAAATTTGTTAAAATTCTTCTTTGCTTCCTTATCTGATAAAGGAAAATCAGAAATATTTTTAATGTTTTAAAGTGGTAAAATAAAAAAAATCCAGAATTCTATAGACGGATTCTCAATACCTTTATTGGTTTCATAATAAATTTTATCTTTTATCTTATCTTTTTCGGTATTTGTTTGATACCAAAATCAGTTGATCGTCAAGATTTCAAAATGAAACGACATGAAATATTTTTTACCTCCTTTATAGATATTTGTTTGTCACCTTTTTGTACACTATGCGAACATTTCATCAATATTCTTATTTTATTTGAATATGATGAATATCTACTATATCAGGCGCAAAAAATCTTACATGTCTTCTTACAATTTTACAATGTGGTGTATAAATATCAAGCTGTGATATCGAAGGGTGGTAGAAAGTTTGCCGTTACGCATCTACAACAGTTATCCAAATATTTTTTGCTTCGTTTCGTAAAATCCCTATGAATTATGAATGGCATATTTCTGAATGAAATCGAAACCACAATGTGTCCGTTTAGTACAGTTTTGATTTGCAGTAAACTGTAAATCAATACGGGCAATTTGTTATGCAGCGCTTATCGATTGTTTAATGGCCACAGAAGTGAACAAATAAAGCGCTGCTGCATTTAGAACGTGTCATATATAAAACGACTACGCAGGCCACGCGGAGTAAACAAGTGGTTGAGAAACATTTCTTCCGAACGTTATTATAACAACAGTTACGTTACAACCAAGAAAGTTGGAATGATGTTTGTTTTACTGTAGATATTCGCGTAAGCCGTCGCCGCTAAGGTCCACAACGGCGTCACAGCCGTGTATTTCCAACGCTTGCCGAGCTAAATGCGACCAAACGGCGCTCCCCTTGCCTGGGCCTCTGGCTAGCGATAAGATAGAACGAATCAGGCCAAGATCGTACCGGGACGGCGCGACTGGCCATCGTCGGCAACAGCCCGATGGTAACCGAGAGGTTCTGCTTGGCGTGCTTCGTTGAAAAGAAGGCCAACTGGATGAACTTTTCACAAGCGGTGGCGTAAAGTAACTGACGTTGCCAGCGAACACATAAAAAATTTCCGATTTGTCGCCGTCTCCTTCGCTCGAACGATGGAGCCTCTGCGAGGCGCTACTTTTGAAATCGTTCACCGTACTTCATTTGTATGTGTGTTGCACGTGGCGGGACTAGTCATTGTTCGGAATTTTTTTATGCAACCCGATTTCCTCCATTTGTTCTAGGTATTAGTTTAGTTTTTCCACCGCTTTGTATCATGATTTTTAATTCAACTATGTATTTTAAATTTTTTAAAATCATTTAGTGGACATAATTCATTATCGACTGTTCTTATTCGATCACAGTTGAATTTCTCCGAGACAATACACAAACAAAATATCTGATAATTGTGTTAGAGCCCCGACCACGTGTTTTTTTGTTTTATAAAATTGGTGGGGGTTCACTAGTATTGATATCAGATATTACCAGAACCCGCCCTCGCGCTGACGCTGTGAGTAACGGCGTCATTGCGATTTCGAATGTTCCCCAAAAATTAATTTTTTTTTTTTAATTTGACTTAAATCAAGAGACGGGGAAGCATACAATTATTGTTTAATATACAATAGGAAAGATTCTAATATAAAAAATATATGTAACGTTCAATACCCAACAGCGTCGTTTGAGAATTGAGGCTCGTTGGAGGGGCAAGGCGCCATCCCATTGGCCCGTCTCTATGGTAACGCGCCCACGCTACCCCACCGGCACTCGACGACCGGCAAAAACAAACTGCGAACGCTCTCGGGTTGCTGGATTTTATTCCACAATATCTACACAACTGCCGGGCGATCTCTTTTCAGCTTGCGAGGGGATGTTTTTCATCGGGGTTTTTGCGCCACGGCGGACTTTTTGCCCTGGTAGGGGAGGGGAGTTTTAGGATTCGGAAATATATTTTTGGGTCATTTTGAAGTTTGTTCCCCCTCAGAAGGAAATTAATGGGAAAACAGGTCTGAGCCCTATCTGTATTAGGGAAAAATTTAAACCTCGGGAGTTATATTTTGTTCCCCATTAGAGATCGGAGTTTGAGTTGGCGTAATTTGATGAGAAGGGTCTAGTACGGGGCCTCGGTTTGCGTTTCCAACTTTGCTAATGGAAAATTACGTGTGACAATTCATGCCCACGGTTAATTTTCTTCAATCAAGCGTCTGAAAACAAAACAAAATTATAGATTTCAAATAGAGTCAAGATAGTTTTAGCTACATTTAACATTACTTAATTTTATTCATAGATATCCGTTCTTTTTCTTTTTGTTTCCGCGTGGAATACTGGGTTCCCGTTCTGTGAGCGGCTACATGTAATACTGAAAATGACAAATGGTATGGTAGCGGAGTGGATTTATGCAACCCTTGCGACTTGCCTCTTATCAGCTGACTGCTCGCATTTTCGGAGCTGCATTACTAATGATTCCACTTTTGCCAGCCGTAGAGATGATTAAATATCACCGGAGATCTGTTTTTCGCATATTAATTGCCTGTAATAGGCAGTCGTCCTGTATTTTTTTTTTTTCTCTTAAAAATCTATAGAGGGGGGTTCTAAATAGTCTGCCGATATTTTTGAGATGCAAAATAAAGATAAACTTAAACTTAACCTTAGGGCAACTGGACAGTAATTTACCAGTATTATTAAAACTCCAAATATTAAGTTTTATGTACGTAAAAGGTAGTTTTAATAGCTATCACTGATCATTCTAAAAAAAAATTCAAATTTCGGTATGTCTACTAGGTGTAACGTGATTGAGAATATCACCAATGAGTAAGAAATTTTCTCATTTAATTTTGCAAAATAACGCGGATTTTAAGATCAGTCCTAATTTTTGGAGCGCATCCGTGTGCCAGCCCGGTTACAGATATAAATCGTGAAAATTCCCCGTTCTCTGGCTTCTCGAGTCGCATTTACGTACGTCGACGTCGCCGTGGAGCGAGAGCGAGCCGTGGCGATAATAAAACGGGACCGCTTCGCGCACGCGCTATCCAAGCACCTCTTCAACAACGAGGCCCGCTCTCGCTGGCTGCGAACCCTCGAGTTTGCGGCAGCAGCTCTAAAACAAAACCGGGCGTCTCTTTTTTTATTCGCATTCGGAATATTGGAATTTTTTATTTGACACATGTAACGTTCAGTCGGAATGAAAATAGCTGCTCTGTCGGTTGCCGTTTATTTCGAATTAAGAAAATAATCGGAGAACATCATTGACGGGGAGGGCGCCAACACCTTGAGCCGTCGACATTCAAATACAAATACAAAATTTATGGTTTTAGGTGTTTGTCAGATTGATTACGGACACACTTCACAACCACTAATTTGCTCACTATGAAAAACTAAGGTTAGGTCAGTTTTTCCGGAATTTTTTAAAATTTAAACAAGGGGCATTATCAAATGTTCTAGTACGTCATTAACTACTTTACTCCTGTATTTGCTACACTTGAAAAAACGCAGACAATCACCCATTATCCATCGACATTGCCAGTATCGACGCCGGGGATCAACTCGGACCAGAATAGGAAGCCTGGCCGACAAATGCTTGCCACCGCACTCTCAATTGACTACACTACCGTGGCGATATTACCGAGTTTAAATTTTTATAAAATGCTTTTGGAATTATTCTATATTTTGCATAGTGTATATTCAATGACTAATGTGTAATTTTTACTCTATAAACAATGAAACTGATGAATTTGCGACAATGTCCAGGGTATACAAAAATTGGAACTGAATCAGCCCTGAAATAGGCAAATAAAAATCGAGAGGTCTTACTGTAGAATAAGATGGAAATGCAAGCGGCAGCAGAGCATTTTAGTGAAATAGGTGACACAAATGTCATCTGCTGGTGAAAATTAGTCGCTCAGTGATTAAAATGAAACACCAAACAATAACAAACACAAAACAGTGCCCCACAAATATGCAAAAAATATAATAATTGAAAATAATTTTCATTTTACTATTGTAAAATTCCTAACTTTTCATAAACAATAAAATCAGATTAGGTTCATACAGACAATTCAAAACGAGTTAATAGACTGTATTCGGAAGAAATATTATTTATTTCAAAATTCCTCTCCATAAAACATCAAAGATTTTCCGCCTGCTGCGCTCTTCACCGATGATGTATTATGAGCTTCGTCGCCCAGTGATTTTGGCTTAAAAAGTGCACTGGGCGGCAGGTAACCTTGCCACTACGCGTCCTAGATCTGAGGGCCCAAATGTTTAGCTCTGACTTATTCTGAAACATGTACAAAAAAGAAAACGATTTAGAATTAAAAGCAATTATGAACTTCTTTTATGTTGTATGATTGTAATAAAAGAAACCCAGTTATTTTTATCAATGCAACATCCCCATTTCACGACGCTTTATTTTAATGGACTTAACAAAATGCCACAAAACACAAAACTTACAGACAGGAATTTCCAATTTAATATAATACATATTTCTATTTAAAAATTAATACTAATTATAAAATTATTGACTATGTCTCTAATACAGCTTCCATTTAATATAAGCATCTTCACGCTCGTGTAGAAAACGACGACAAAATTTCAACGTTTTGTTTGAGAACCTCTGGCTCCGCCTGCCGCACGGCCTGATGGCTAGGGTCGGTTGGAAACCAGCGGCAGCGCGCCGGCATATCAGGCGGCTGTTCGTCGCAACTTGCCCCTGCCTGCCTGCCCGGCTTTCCAAGAAGGGAATAACCTCCCTGCCTGCTGCCTGTGTGGCCCCTAAGCGGCGAGGGCTGCTACCCCGCCGTAGAACGAGGGGCTCCGTTCGTGTTACTAATCCAGCTATACGTTCTCTCCGGTCCCCCTTCTTTTGCCCATACCGCAGGGTTGCCGACTCTCTTCTCCAGTTTCCCCTAAAAATTGAAGCTGGATGAGCCACGTCACTAATTAAAGTGATGTATTACATTAACAGAGATGGGGCTGTAAATTTATTTGCAATAATATTTATAATAATAAATGTAATATGATAACTGTGTGCAAATAAGCGAAATCTGATTTAAAATATCCGAAACTCAAAAATCATACTCACGTGGACCATCATTTACGGTTTTCGTCACTACTGTCGAATGTCTCAGCTTCTTGTTTAAACCACTTGATGCGAATTAAAATACCTTTCGTCATAATTCAGCAATATACTCTATTGAGCCGGCAACAGTTAAATTGATAGAACATTTTTTTAATTAAGTTGAACAAAAATTATATTGAATAAAAAGTATAAAAAAATAGTATAGGAAGAGGTGAAATTAACTAGTTTTTTTTTTTTTTAATAAAACTTGAAGGTATCTAAATGTTTCCTTTGTTATGAAATAAATGTAAATTTTCAAAGACCGAATTGTTTTTCCAAACAAATTTTAGATCAATTAACTGCAATAAATTTTGATCGCGGAAGCAGTTAAGTTAAAAATAAAATGGATATGTAATAAGTAAATATCATTTTGGCGCCCAACAAAATAAAAAATCAATTCAAAATAAAAAAAAAAACAAAATTTAATGGTTATAATATATAAAAAATTGTGTTGTGTTTAACAACATATACACATATTTAAATTATCACTAAGTGAACAATATATCCAATGGGTATTATTTTTTCTTTTTGTATAAAATCATTATTTAACTGGTAGTTTAAAAAAATATAAAAGTGAAACAAAGTCAGGCAATTGGAACTACAGTAAAGAAATTAATTGTAGTTGTAACGTGGCACGTTGCTTTCATAAATGATTACAAGCAACGTGACCAGTAATTTTGTTTGGAATAGCAACTTTATTTCCTTCACGTCGGTAAACAAATTTCGGTAAAATTAAAACAGTAAGATCAAGATCACATTAAAACACAATATTCCGTATCATCGGCTGTGATTGGTGTAATTTTTCACGAGATTCTATTCAACCAATCAACCATCGCATTATCTCGAGCGTAGACGTAACGGTTTGTCATTGTTCATTGTAAACGGATAAAGAAGCAGAGGAGTTACCTACTTAAGTAAGAAGTTTTCTTTGTAATAAGATGTTATAGTCTGCTATCTCATAAATCTGATGACGATGGCGTACTAACTGAAAAAATGTTTAATCGAATAAAAATGTATATAGTTGTTGGCATATTATAGTACCCGGTGACAAGTCAGTAGACCTTCTTAATGCAAACAGCTCATACGTATAACTTTAATTAACCCATACTTATAATTTAACTAACAAGTACATACTACATTTTATAGTGCACGTGACTTAAAAATTTTTAGGACCACTGAAAGTACAGACGCTATAAACCATGTTCTAAATTTTTAAATCAAAGATGTTTTTTTTTATTTTTATTTTATAGAAATGTATATTTTTTTGGTTGAACCTATAGAGGGTATTCTGTACAAAGATATGATTACAAATACACTAACTGATTTTATCTTTAGAATTCTATAATAAATAAATCATTAAATGTTTTAAAATGACAAATTCATCTTCAATTTTTAATATGTAACTACATGTCGCCTCTGTCTCAAGATCGTCTTAATCATGTATCAATGACAAAAAAATGTTTGATCTGAAAGAGTGACAGCAAAAAACCTGTGATTTTCACCCGTTTTTTCACAATTCGCAAAGAATTTAAAAAAATACATAAAAATATGTTTTTGGTCACAAATTACTTGTCGTAAAAAACTGAAATGAGCATAGCTTTTAGTATTTTGAAAATTTAAAAAATCACCCCTACTTAGGGGTTGAAAAATGCCAAAAATGAAGAATTTGAATATTACCAATTGATATAAAAACTATTAGCATGTGAATTATCTTAATATATTTTTTTTGTAATTTTTACAATTATTTCTGGTATTCTCTATTTTTGGAGATGATTTCACCTCCTGAGCACGCTTAAAGATGAATTTTCTAATTCAACATGCTTAGTTCAGTCATGGGAATAAATCTTTCTTTGTATCAAGAATCATTCCATAGAAAAATTCACATGCTAATAATTTTTATATTTATTGGTAATATTCAATTCTTCATTTTGGGCGTCTTTTCAACCCCAAAATAGGGGTGATTTTTGAAAATTTTCAAAAAACTAAAAGTCATGCTCATCTTAATTTTTTATGATGAGTAATTTGAAACCAAAAACATAGTTTTATCTATTTTCTTTAGTTCTCTGCGAATTGTGAAAAAAACGGGCGATTTTTGCGGTCACACTTTGTGATTTTGGGAAACAATCCTTCCTGATTAAAAAGTAGTTTGTAACATATCTTCAGTCAACAATGTGTCTTTTTCGTTATAAGATAGATTTCATTAAGAGTATTTGTCAAGAACTAAAATTTATTGCGACGTTCCAAATTTGGAAGCAATCGGCCTTTGATTTTTTCAATTTCTGCATCCTGAGTAGGCAAAGTGGCTTATATTAAAATATATGTGTATATATAATTTTTTTATATAATTCAGTGATTTCTGAACTAAAAATGTCAAAGTAGGCCGATTATTTTCAAATAAAATATCATAAGAAAATGACATTTTACACACAAACCATTTTTTTGACCCTGACAAGGCCTACTTATTTTTTGTAGTTAACACTCATGGCTAAGACGCTCTGGACACACCCTGTACAATTAAACATAGAGACAAATCAACTAATGTGTTTCTTATAATATCTTTGTAGAGAACGCAAGCAGATTTTATTTGTCTAAAATGACCTTACCTATCCGTAAAACGAAAAAAGTTTTTCTTCCCAAATCCATCCGTGGACCATACTGTTCGCCTTAACATTTTTCAATTTTTGATGTACGAAACGGAACCTGCCACTGCATTTCTCGCTACGAATTATTAGACGTAAGTACCCGTTTTGAATTCAGATAGTAATCTGTTAAGATAAGCGAATAGGCAACCCTGAATCCGCGTTGTAGGCAGTCCAGGCGCTGATGGTGGACTTTCTGCTGATGCGCTAATGGAAAATTGTGTTTTAGGTTTGAGTCACCGGCTATAGTTACGTCATTGTGACCACGCGGAATGATGGGGGCTCTCTCGAATTCATATCCATCACTATTGGCTAGTGCCAGGAATTTTAGCCCGATATAGTGTAATAAACTTGGTTATTAGAAAGTCTCGCTCAGAACTGAATCGTTCAAAGCGTAGCCCAATACTTGCTCAACTAATTTTTGAAAATAATATTTTTTAAAATTAATCTTCAATATTAACCAAGTTGCAGTTTTTGTATTTTAAATCTTAACACAGCTAACAAAAGAGTTTTATGACGTCATCTATTACATTAACAATGTATGTAATTATTCGTGATTTTCAAGTTACATTGGTAGAGTAACTTCCATTTAGGTGATCTTACTATTCTCAGGTCACTTCGGAGTAGACAATAAAAAAGAAACAGTTTATTTATTTATATACCTAATTATTCAATAATGAAACGAACCAATTAATAAAAATATGATAATCATTTTGTTTTATTAGTTTATGACAAAACATATTGAGATATCCATGTATTTTGCTACTGTTTCTCTTTCGCCTATAAATAAAACTACTTATCATTGTTATTATTAGCATTACATATTTGTCACATAATCCTGATAATTTTTGTATTTCTTTTCCAACTTCGACTTTCTACATAAACGTGTGTACCTAAGTAAATGAAATATTTAAACGTCTACATGATTTTTCCTTGTGTTAAAATGGATTTAATTTTCGAACGAATATCACCGAATTTGAATTTGCCGCTTTTCCATAAAACACGCCTCTAAAACAAATGAAACGATTATTGTGAATCTAGCAGACTACGGAGGCTCTGAAAAGTGAAACATTTCTTTTCCGTTCGGATCCTAACCTAAAAATAAAATTACGAAGGGTCGGACCGTATCTGTCTGTATACCTGGCCGGAACAGCATTGTAGGGCCCGGATGGTCCCGTTTAAACACCAAAGACCGTCGATTCCGTAAAACCCAGGTAGATACTTTTTCAGTTCGTCGTATAACAGTTGGCGTCTGAGGGTCCTGGTAGGGATTTTTTTGTTGGCGAGGGAGCCGGGATTCAAATTTAAATTCGAGGGTAGTTCCCCATAGAGGTTTGGGTGCCTCGAAACTTCTGCATTATGGTTTTTGAGCCGCGGGCAGGTTAAAACCGGGATTATACGTTCGTACCAGTATGATATTTGAAGGAACCTTTTCGGAATTTAAATATTTTGGAATACCTGAACCTATTTTTTTAAGTTATGGGTTTCTCCAACAGATACCTATTTCCTATTATTCACGGT